CATTCATGAATTTGCACAGCAAGGGTAGAGCTCGCCGAGCGAATCAATTCTGTTAAGGTTTCGATGATCAGCTTCTCACATTGGTGGGATATCAAGCAGGATATTCAGGGAAAGGTTGGATGAACAGCGGGGGAGGAGAATTGAGATGCCGTCTCGTAGGAGTCTAGTTCTGCGAACTCTGAAGCTGAAGTCTTATGGATCCTCTAGCATCTGAGAGTTAGATCAGTCATATTCCTCCGGTGTTTCTCGTTTCCTCCCGCATTTTTTCTACAAACTTGATATGGTGGTCACAGTATTGCCGTTTACCGACCGCCAAAATGGACGCTTCCTGTATCAAGCCTATGGTGTTCCGGCATACCCTACGTTTGGTGTTCGGAAACCATCTCTAGTCGGAATACTCAGAAGATGGTATATAGAGGTGCAGCTACAGAGCACATATACGGAAGAATGACGAGATGAAAGGGCATAAGCGAAGCATAGGTGATAGACGTGGTGGCGCACGGGCCACAGATACTCAGGCAAAGTGCACAGACCCAAGACCAGCGAAGGATGGGGAGGTAACAGTAGAACATGGATCCCGGATCGAAACGCCGAAACGCCAACACAAACGGAACACAAACACAGAAACAACGATACACGGGAATCAAGTCAATTCGCAAACCCCATAGCCGTGATTCGAAAACACAATGTACGAAGGGTCAGTGAAGGAGAGAAAAGAACAGACGCACGAGGAACTGGCAGGTACGGAGCACGAATGTGATCGTTATGAGACCTTTCGAATCTTCAGCTTCATTCCCGAATCACAAAGGACTCGTATCAGCTAATTCCATCGTTGTCAACATCACCGTAGCTGAGCATCCGTCGTGATGCACCTCTGAAAAGTCAAGATGCCAGCTGCGATATCGAGATTTAACGCGTCTGTGCAGCATGGTCGAGGAGGATCTTGTGTTCATCGGGAGAGGTGGTGCTATCACGGAACTGGTACCGGCACCAAGGGACCCATTGAAGAGACGTAGAGGTCGAATGGCGTTGTGAGACATGCAGTGGTTCGACAGTCGAGGTGCGGTGTTATAAGATTCCATGAACAAAAAATGTTCCCTGACGTTCGACTCGGGACTGCTCCATAGTCGCTATGATGACTTGGATAGTTTCAACTGGGTTGACAGGGATGGTGGTTTTGTTTCGGTTGGATGAACAGCGGGGGAGGAGTCTAGCACCCAAAAAGGCAAGTGGTGGTTTGCTTGTGCCATCATGGACCAGACAGCTGCCAAAAAGACGCTTCAAGAGCTTGTAAAGCGGGAAGACCTGGGCAATCGGGCGTGCGTCGACTGTGGGAGCCCGAATCCGCAGTGGGCGTCGCTGAGGTGCGCGTCATCCGATCTGTCCCGCTGCTGCTGCTGAGGATGCAGTTTTGCGGTGTTCATGTGTCTGCAGTGCGCAGGGACCCATCGCGGCTTTGGAGTCCATATAACGTGCGTGCCTTGCCTGCTTGCTCGACGACGCTGATGCCGTGCAGCTTCGTCCGGTCGCTGTCGATGGACACGTGGCAGGATGACCAGCTGAGTCGTATGCAGGTCCGTGCGTCTGTGTCTCTGCCTTCCCTCGTTGACGGTGCTAGCTCGGTGGGAATGCCCGGTTTCGCGAGTTTATGCGCGGGTACCGGCCGGTGGAGCAGGGCGGGTACAGCGATGCGCTGGGTGTGCATGATACGTATCATTGCTGGGCCGCGAGTCAGTATCGCCAAAAGGTGTGTGTTCTATCACGCGCGTACTGTTGCTAACTGTGCGTGTAGCTGGACTACGAGTTGCTGGACAAGGAGTGGGCGCCGTCGCCCCCGCCAGAGCCCGCCTCGCCCGCCCTGCGCAAGTCCCGGAGAGGCGCGTCGTCGTCGCCAGCCCCGTCCGACCCGCCCGCCGTTCCCCAGAAAGAGGCAAACGAGCTCTACTTCAACTCCCTCGGACAGGCCAATGCGAGCCGTCCAGACCACCTCCCTCCGTCTCAAGGCGGGCGCTACCAAGGCTTCGGGAGCACGCCCCAGAGTGTGTCCTCCACCACCCTCCAAGACAACCCCATGGCCACGCTGAGCAAGGGCTGGTCGTTCCTCTCTGCTGCAGTCGTCGGCGCGTCCAAAGTCGTCAACGAATCCGTCATCCAGCCCGGCATGGAAAAGGTGTCCGACCCGGAGCTCCAGAGGAACGTCAAGGGCTACTTGGACGGCGCAAAGAAGGGCGCCGTGAGCGTGGGCAGCTCCGCGAATGCTTGGGGGAAGAGCCAGTTTGGCGTCGACGTCGCGAGCAGTGTCGGGGAGGTTGTGGGCAAGCTGGGTGGCGGCCCGTCGAGGGAGGGCTATGACGCCGTCCCGACGGGCTGGGAGGGCGAGCGGAGGGCGTTGTATGCAGAGGACGACGACGACTTGTTTGAGCACACGACTAAAGCCCCGACTCCTCCGCCGAAAAAGCCGGCCGATGGCTGGGATGACGACTGGAAGGATTTTTAGATTATAGATTCGTTTATTTATGCAAATTATTATTTATGTCGTCATACCCCGCATTCGTCCCCGCATCTACCATGAACCGTATCATCCAGCTTGCACGGCGAGGGTACCATGCCTCAGTCCTGCCTTCCCGTGTATCGTCTGCATCTCCCGAGTTTGTTGCCAAAGCACAGGCAATGGACGACCTCGTCACGGATCTCAACGCCAAGCTCGCTACCGCCAGACTGGGAGGAGGCGACAAGGCTGCAGAGCGAATGAGGAGCAGAGGAAAGCGTGTTCCCAGAGATAGGTGAGCAGAGTGTGTCCTAGACTGCCTATCTCATTGCCAACAGGCTCAACCTCCTCCTTGATCCACACACGCCCTTTCTCGAGCTCTCGCCGCTTGCTGCACACGATGTCTATCCAGGCGACCACGTCCCCGGCGCCGGCATTATCACTGGTATAGGCAGAATAAAGGGAAGAGAGTGCATGGTAGTCGTGAATGACCCGACTGTCAAGGGCGGCGCGTACTACCCGCTCACCGTCAAGAAACATCTCCGTGCCCAAGAGATCGCCAGAGAGAACGGACTACCCTGTGTGTATATCGGTGCGCCTCTTTGTCTTTTCCCCAACGTCTACCCAACGAATCCCAGTCGAGTCGGGCGGCGCAGCCCTCCCACACCAAGCAAACGTCTTTCCCGACAAGGACCACTTCGGGCGGATCTTTTACAACATGGTACGCGTCCCCCCTCCTCACCCGCCCCTACTCACGCGCAGCAGGCCCACATGTCCGCCCTGGGCATCCCCCAGATCGCCTCCGTCCACGGGATAAGCGTCGCAGGCGGCGCCTACGTCCCCGCCATGGCCGACGAGAACGTCATCGTGCAGAACCAGGGGCGCATATTCCTCGCGGGGCCGCCGCTCGTGCGCGCCGCAACGGGCGAGGAGGTGGGCGAGGAGGACCTGGGCGGGGGGCGCATGCATGCGGCAGAGAGCGGCGTGACGGACCATCTGGCGCGGGATGACGAGCATGCGCTGGAGATCGTAAGGGGTGTCGTGGGCGATCTGCGTGGAGGCGGGGAGAGGCGCGCGGATGCTGAGCCGGAGGAGCCGTTGTATGATGCTGGTGAGCTGCATGGGATCGTGGGTACGGACGTGCGCCAGGCCTTTGATATGCGTGATGTCATTGCCCGTTTGGTTGACGGGAGCCGCTTTAGGGAGTTTAAGACGGAGTATGGACCGACGATCATCACTGTGAGTTTGGTCTTGTGTGGAGAATGTTGCTCATTTGTGTTCTACTAGGGCTTTGCGCATATACACGGCTACCAAGTGGGCATCATCGCCAACAACGGCATTCTGTTTTCACCATCTGCTTTGAAGGCCACGCATTTCATACAGATCTGCGAGCAGAGGGGGGTGCCGTTGGTCTTTCTCGTTAATGTCACTGGTGGGTCGATGCCTGTTGCCAGGGTACCCTTCGTAAACTACGTTTGTAGGCTATATGGTGGGTTCCAAGGCGGAACGAGGGGGGATAGCCAAGGACGGTACGTCACCCCCTTCAATGTATTGTATGCTTCCGTGAATTTCGTGTACTAGGTGCAAAGATGGTCAGAGCCGTTGCCTGTACGACCGTGCCAAAGTTTGCTGTCATCGTCGGTGGCAGCTTTGGGGCGGGCAATTACGGTGCGTCCATCCTACACCCGCTAGCTCATCCATTTATTTATTCATTAATTAACCCAGGCATGGCCGGCCGAGCGGTAAGCTCCCCCCATCTCCACATTTGACGCTAACTGCTACTCGTCGAAAGTACTCTCCGAGGTTCCTGTGGATGTGGCCTGTACGTTATTCATCTCTCCGTGCTAGTACCTGCTGATAGCACGGCAGAACGCAAAAGTATCCGTGATGGGCTCGGCTCAGCTCTCGCAGGTCATGACGTCTGTGTCCAAGTACGTTCAAATCCTCTCTTTCTCCTCCTGCGTCTTAGGTGTGGCGCTAGGGACCCAACGCAGCACGCAGCCCTCAAGACGGAGATCGAAGAGCAGAGTACCGCGCTGTATTCGACGGCGAGGCTGTGGGACGATGGGATCGTGGCTCCGAAGGATACGAGAGACGTTTTGGGGTTGGCGTTGGGTGTTGCGGGGAGGAGGACTGAGGGTAGGCCTGGGTTTGGTGTCTTTAGGATGTAGATACTTAGTCTGGGAGGTGAACGCGGAAAGGGTGATCCAGATCATCGTTACTCCCATTAACATGCATTCATCCCACTGACAACTTGGGAGTACCCATGAAGTGGGTTTAGTGACTACGTCGACATGCAAGTGTCACGGTCGCGTCGAGCGGCGTGTGGTGGTCATGATCGTCAGGAGCTACGTCAGCGACCATGGTGGTAGGTCACATGTCACGTCGACATTGATGAGTGGCGGGCCAAAATGCCCCCCCCCCCCAAGGGTTCAAAAATGAACGAAAACTGACCCCTAGAGTTTCGAACCCTATGGAGTTGCATAGTAACCTATGCATCCAGAATTTTTGTGGCAACATGGCCGAGTGGTTAAGGCGCTAGAATCAGGTAATCACGGATTATCAGGTAATTGTGATTGCGCAATCTAGTCCGAAAGGGCGTGGGTTCGAGTCCCACTGTTGTCAGTCTGACAATTTGGCCTGCTTTTTTATTTCTAGGAAACAGCACGGAGTACATAATTTAGGCAGGTAATTAATAGGGTTGTGCACAAAACTTCCGAGATAGGTAACCGTTTATTACCAATTTCTCCCCAGGGGCGTGATTTTGCCACGGTAAGTTATTGTAACTTACCCTACAATGTGGATTTTAATGTGAATGGCGTGCCGCAACTGTTGTTATATGCACGTCACAAGTGATATTGTATATTTACTGATATGCGTTCTTTGCAGCTGAATTATCCTGCATTAGAGCAGGACAATGTATAGCAAACACTAAAGGAAAGTTATCGAATTTTGTAGGACATAAATCTCCAGATCTCTGCCTAAATGCTGATCCCATGACAGGTAAATTACTGGGAATAAACCCAGAGTTTCGTGCGCAACCCTAGTAACTAGCGCTGCGCACTAAAGGTTTCGTGCCGTCAATCACTGTTCTTTCTACGCTGCGCACGGTTCGAGTCCCAGTGTCGTAACCTCATTTTTGATTTTTTGGACTGGTCACTTGCCTGGAAATGATTCGAAGAATGATCAGGTTTGGACCCCCCCCCCCAGCGTCGTCGGAAATACTGTACTCGTCCTGTGTTGTAGCTCAGACTCGTTGCGTTGAACCGACAATCAACTCGGTCATGTTTTCTTTGAACCCAATGAGACTCGAACGCACGCCCTAGCGACCATGGTGGTAGCACGGTCATAGCTTCACGGGGCCCCTTCACGGCGACATTGACGGGTGGCGAGCCAAAATACCCCCCCAGGGTTCAAAAATGAACGAAAACTGACCCCCTAGAGTTTCCAACCCCTTGCAGCAGGCCCACCGAGGTCTAGATATACCTAAAAATAGCAGACCGATGCCATCCTTTCAATCGGGCCATAACGCATAATGACTCTATACTTAACCAACGGGTGAGTCAAGACTCGAGTATTATACTCGCAACTGTGAATCTAGCGAGTCGCATCGCAGCAGGCTAGCCCTTTCCCTTTATCCCTGGACCCGAAATTAGGCTCCTTCCTTCCATAATGTGTCGTCTCCTCCCTGCAACTCTGCAAGTTGACGAGCACACCGCTGGGTTCCGCCAATCGCTCTTCCTCCTACGCTGCGGAAAGAAGCCGCGTTTAATTCTCTTTTCGTTGCCGTGCACCTCTCAAATTGTAGTTGATGCGTTCGGAGCCCCATCTTGAATGGCTTGCTAGAATCGACCCTATCCAGGGGAGAATAGCATGGATGGAACATCCAGAAATAGACCGGACAAATAGAGTGCGACCGTTATCGTGCGAGTTGACGGTAGCGCGCAGCAGTAGAAATAGGCCTGTTGTTGCGAAAATCGGTCAATACCAAGTATGCGGTGGATCACCTTACAAAACCCATTTGCGAAATTGGCATGTACCTGGTATGTTCCAGTCGATTGGTTAGCCGAACTTAAAATCAATGCGATGAAATGTTATGAAGTCTTTGGGACTTGAGCTTGAGCAGTTCAACGGAAGAATACTGTTTTTCTGATATTGTGTTATATCGAAGAGGTGGTCGTTTAGGCGAGGTACTAGTGTAATATAGTGTTCGCAGAGACAGGAATACAAAAGCTCCAAATGCGGCCCCAGGAACGTTCGTGCCAATTCTGCAGTATGGGGCTAGGATGCCAGATAACCACGAACACCTAGAGATGGAGTCGCCGCGATCGTTGCAGAGCTTTGGGTCACGATAGCGGTCTGTTTGCTATTGACTCTAAAAAGAAGTACAGGGATCGGGAGGAATTCGAAGGGAATAAGATAACCGGGTGATGCTTTCTTTCGAGAACCGGTACAGCAGTGATCATTGTTGTTCGAGGACCGGTGGAATATGTACCACACCAGAATAGCGGTACAAGGGTTGACGCTAAGCTCTAGTCATGTTCGCAAGCGAGGCAGGGACACCGACGTGGTTGTGCATTTAAACACGCCTTGCCATCCAACCAGCATCATCGACATCGGGGTCCAAAAGTCGGACCCATCATTGCAAAGCAGGTGGTGTCGGCATATCGCGCAAGCGCCGCGTGACCAGATAATTGATCGTCGAGCGTTCCGCTGTTTTGGGTCACTCTCTCATCGCTGCTCTCTCCTTCACTCCTCCTTCCTCCTCCCTCCTCTCAGCGCCTGGATGATTCAGCAAACGAATGCTCGTCAGGCTGGATCAGGCCTTCGTGTTGGGGCCGTAGACGATTCAGAACTTACATGGGGCCAGTGGTCTGGGCGAAAGTGAGCGCTTGTTTCTATCACTAGCCCAATTTGTGTCTGATTTTCTGTAGGCTATACACACTCGAGGTCATTCAGAACCCGCTCAGAGCTAGGATGTGTGGATTTGGGGACAAGGTAGGCTGGTGAATTTAGAGATCTCGATTGGAAATAAATCTGTATGCAGGATCGACGACCGCTAGCACCAGCTGCTGTAGTGAAGATGGTAGTGAAACGAGAAGATGACAGTATAGTCGACGTCGAGTGTGTGTCTCTTTTTGTACTGTCTACCGTGGTTTACCTCCCCTCAGCGACGTGGATTGTTCCTTCTTCCTAGTAACGGTCGATCTCTGGTCTGGAGACGGGAAACAAGAAATGAACCTAGTCCTGCATCCTTCATCGTCGGAACGATACGTCCAACAGACCCCCAAGTCAAGTAGCAACACCAGACGGCGTACGTCCAAAAGTGGACAGGCGCCCAACCCGACTCGAACACCTACGCCAACACCCACGCCGACCTCCCCCGAGCAGCCCTACCCATACCCGCCGCCTCCCAACCTAGCTTATTCGGAGACCTCCCCGACATGGGGCTACCCCAGCACGTCTTTCCCACAGCCGCCCCCGCAACCTCCCCAGTCGTTCGGCCGAGAACCATGGCAAGTCGACGCCGACAATTCCGAAGGGCCTGAATACCGTCCATGGACTGCAGAGACTTACTCCAATCCGCCATCCAACGCGAATCCCAACTCAAGTCCACCGTCGTATTGGGAACCGCCTGCTCCCGCCCCCACGTCTCCGTCTATAACCAAGGAGAAACGACCCCCTGCCTACGCCCTCGATACCACCTCTGCCCCGACACACCTATACGCGTACCCTCGTCGGTCCGTTATCCGCCAATGCGACCCGCCTTCTGGATGAACACCGCAAACCTGGGATATTCTTCCTCTTCCAGGACTTGTCTGTTCGCACTGAGGGTACATTTCGCCTGCGTCTGCGGCTGATGAACGTCGGAGCTCCGCCTGCACCTGAAGCGGGGGCGTCAGCAGTGCATACGGACGTGTCACCCGTGCTGGCGCAGACGTTCACCGAGCCGTTCACGGTGTATTCGGCTAAGAGGTTTCCTGGCGTTCCGGGTACGTGTGTCTTTTTTTGGAGGTTGTGTGGCGATTGATGGTTCTTTGTAGATACGACGGCGTTGTCTATTGCTCTTGGGAATCAGGGACAGAAGCTCCCTTTGGTGAGTGTTGTGATATGTGGTGCATATGTGTTGTTAATGGTATTTTGTAGCGGAATCGGCATGGCTCGAATAATAAGAGACGGCGGCACGATTCTGGTTCGGAGGAGGATTCGGAGTAGCATAAAGTGGTGATGTAGATTTCTTCACGTTCGTTTAGGTTTGATTTATTGCTATATTTTTTTGTATATCGGAAGAATTTATGGTATCTTTATGGTGGGTGTCTTGTTATTAGTATGCGACTCTGGCATGTAACCTTCTGCTGTTCGTTGAATTTCATGCTACGTCGATACACTGCTCTCCTTTTTTCTTATTTAATTCTTTAGTTCAGGTATTGTTGGTACTAGATTTAGTCTCGTCTCTGAAAACACAGTCTTATCGTTAAAAGCATGACTCGGACTGTACAGTATCATTTTCCGATCCGGTATGGCAAGCCTGACAGGTTCTCAGATCACCCAAAAGTATCCGTGATGCTCTCACAGGTTTTGACATCCGTGTCCAAGTAGGATTGTTTTCCTGAGTCGAGTTGCCGGTCCGTCTGCGAACGGGACCTACCGAAGGAGGTAGATATTGAAGAACAACTTGAAAGGGATGGTGTGAGAATCCCCACTTGCGATTGATAGTCTGGCAGGGTAATTAGGAGGTCGATTATATAGCTTCGCGCTCGAGACGTCTCTTGGCATTGATGCAATATTGATGTAGTGCATCCTACATAAACCGGGAAGCCCGGTCACTGGCCTAGTCCCACCGGAATGAATACCAGGCTCTAGTTGTTGTCTTGCCAGTGCCATCATGATATACATATGTGCTCGCGGTCTCTCGTTGCCTCGACACCCAGAATCTCTTTTGCTCTCGCCTGGATTTACTTATCTTGTCTGTACAAAATCAAAGACGTAATTCGTGCCGTTGTATACAAAGGTACCACGAGGTATCACTTCTAATTGATTAGGAATTCGTTAGGAATGTCTGTTTGGCTCTTGCAATTACTTTTATTATTAGTGCAGCGGTGGATATTCCACTCTGCAAGGCTTAGTCCGACTTTTTCGTAGTCTAGGCAATACAAGGCAATCAAGGTGTGTCCCATTTTGGATGTGAACATACTACAGACAAAGACCACCGGGTGGTCGTAGACATTCGAATACCGGTTGAACGCCACGCCAGAGGAATGGTACTCGTAGCTGAAGCTGCCGTGTAAGGCAAGTACGCGGACGAGTGAAGAGACGCGTCTGAGTGGCTGTGCACTGAAACGCGCTCTTGATCCACAACCCACGCCGAACAGCGCTAACCTCAACAGTATTGAATTGGGTCGTCGGGATATCGCGCAGTTAGGCGAGTGATTAGGTATTTATTGATCGTCGAGCGTTCCGTTGTTATGGAACACCTCTCTTTTTCCCCTCTGGTCCTAATGATAAAACAAACATATGCCCGCCAAGGCTGTTGTTGATGCATGTTCAGAGCTTACATGGGCTCGGTGGTCTGGGCGAAAGTGAGTGCTTGTGTTCTTTGGTATCTCTTTTGCCTATGATCCCCA